TGTATCCCTTCAAAGCGTTAGCCAAACCAAATCCTTTCTCGCCCAAGTTGCTTCTTTCAGCTACTTGGTCAGAGCAATGTAAAAAGTCACAAATACATATCAAAAAGTCTCCATTCTCCCTTGACGATGATGGCTCAGACAAAACCCAAGATTCCCCCAGAGAACAAGTAAGATATTCTGACCCTGCCCAGCTCCAGCTTAATTTGTACAGAACAAACCGGGACAACTATATTCAAAGAAGAGCAAAAGGAGCCAGCTGAAATTACTCCCCACTACCAGAGAGCCAATTACAGCTGCAGGACAGCATGAGCACCAGCTGTGTCAATTGGCTACAGAACCCAGGGGCAGGCATGAAAGGCTCATGATCAGATAGTAAAAGGTCAGGATCGGATAGTAAAAGCAGGAACAGGGATATTTAAGCTAGACAGTGCCTGGAAGCACTAGCCACAACAGTACATACTTGGAAGGAGCATTCTTGGAAAAGCTAAAAATAAGACATACTAATGGGAAGGCACAGAAGCCAACCGACCCAGCCAGGAGTGAGACACCCTGCAGAAAGTGTCTACATGCAAATAAGGAGTAAAAAGGGAAAACAGACAAGGCATAGTGTCTTAAGATTGCTATTGCTGTAATGAAACACCATGACCAAAGGCAACTTAGGGAGGGAAGGGTTTATTCAACTTACGCTTCCACGTAACAGTTCATCATCAGAGGAAGTCAGAACAGGAACTCATGTAGGGCATGGACCTTGGAGGCAGGTGCTGAAGCAGAGGCCATGGAGGGGTGCCATTTACAGGCTTGCTCTTCATGGCTTGCTAAGCCTCCTTTCTTATAGAACCCAGGGCCACCAGCCCTGGGATGGTACCACCCACAATGGGCGATGTCCTCTCACATCAATCATCAATTAAATGCCCACAGGCTTGCCCACATCCAATCACATAGAGGCATTTTCTCAATGAAGGTTCCCTCCTCTCAAATGACTTTCGCTTCCATCAAGTTGACATAAAACTGTTCAGCATACACATATACAAGGATTGGGCCTCATCACATAGTAGGCTGAAGACCCACACAGGAGAAACCAGGCCTGTTGAGGCTAAGACTAAGACTAAGGTAAATCTGTGCTAAGGGAAGAATCTCCTGATGTAGGTTTAGGCAGGCTTAATTTTGTTTCTTTTCAGAACAAGACCACACTAAGGGAGGTGTGAACTGAACCCTGAATCTTGAGCCTGGTTGGGATGAGGAATTCCACCTGAGGAGCAGGAGGTCTGGATGTGGAGCAGGCCAGACCATGAGTTACATGTATTGGAACAGCTTATGTCTCCGACAGATTATTAGACAGAGCCCAGTGTGGACCCCGGGTTCCAGAGGCACCGTCTTATAAGCAAAAGGAAACGAAACCTTTTCAAATGGGCACAGGAGCGAAAAAGGGGGGTCCCGTGGCAAAGGCAAGATTGCAGACTTCCTAAGTTCACAAGATGGAGTGCCTCGTTTGCTATTTTTTGACAGAAAATGGGCTTGTGCACGCCGTCCTCCAAATGGAGCAAGATGCTTAACTCATGATAGGTGGTTGCTTCTGTATGTTAACTCACCCGCCCCTGGGTGGGGGTGGGGACAGACAGGAAGCCAAAAATGCCAGCGACATTGGAAACCCAAGATTTTCTTTCTTCCCTCAGCTTTTCACTACCTACACTCTTCTCCCGATTAATGCTAAGTCGTCCCCCATGCCCCCCGAGTACCTATACTCTTCTCCCGATTAATGCTAAGTCATCCCGATGCCCCACGTGGTTTTTGTAACTGCAGTAACTGGGGCCTGGAGTTTGCTTTAAATGATTGCTATAGGGAACTGGAGTTTGTAGTTTTTATAGATTTGGGTGTAAGGCTAGTGCTGGGTGTAGCATTTAGCCTGCTCATCCTATAGGCTCTTTTTTTTTAACAGAACTGGGGTTGGATCAACTCACCTAGAATCCCAAGGGAACAACAATGGTGTAACTGCGGTAAGAGGAAAGCCCCGGTGCTTCTGGGAGCATCCCCGGGCAGCTGAAGGGGTGGCCTAGAGTTCTACAGGCAAAGACAACGGAGAATAAGATTGCTGGACACAAGGCGAACCCTTCTCTAAATGAGATCTACTTGCCCGGCAGAACAGGACCTGGTAGTATAAATGGATCTTTCACACCTCACCTATTAGGAAAGCACGTGGTCATCACTCCTGAATCATTTCTAGGACTTGAGTCTGGAGAGACAGCCATAGAATTCCCAGTTGTCCTCGGGGTGTGCACCGTAGGGAAGGAGTCCCCCTGAGTGCATCCTCCACTCTTCGCCTCGTCACCCCAGTGAGCATCATCAGCATGGTGCACACGAAAGCCGACCACCCACCAGGGAACACAGGCGGCAGTTTCCCAAGTGAGAACCTACCCGCAACTGACCCCAGTCCCCTGACCACAGCTCGACCATCCTTTACACAGTACCTCACTCAGGCCCCATTGACCTGGGTCCTAATCCTGCAGGCGCCCGCAGACCGCCTGACCCAAAGGTCGCAGGCTAAGGGGGACTTCTGGTGGCTACAACATACCACAGGAACCTGCCACCCATCGTCCTGGACTATTCCACAAGTCTAGTATCACAGGTGGATCTGTTTCTGAGTGGTCGGTCTGTCTCCTGTCTGTTTGGTGGGCTAAACTTTAAATTATTTCCACTTGGTCTTCCTCTTCAGTTTGAAAATAAAAATCTGGAAGTTGTCAGGAGTAACTCACTCTCTAATACCATCTCGTTTGTTTTTCTTGCCTTTACCCTGAGCAGGTAGCTATGAAAACAATCTTCCCATGTCTCTGGTGTTTTTTCTGACCCTGAGTAGTTTATTTTAGACATATTTAAAAGCACAGCACAATTTGGTGAATACTTTCTTGGTCATAATTAACTCAATCCTGTGTGCACTTTAGATAAAGCATATGTAAATCTTGTGGAACAGTAAGCTAAATAAAGTTCAGGTGTGACATCAAAACTCTTTGTAAAGTACATGTGACACCTTCCATAAAGACAGGTTCTGTAGATTAATTGAGAAAAACAAGCTTATGATAAAGGTGTGGGGGAGATCCAGTGTGGTCTCACCACACAGTCACCAGGTTATTCAGCAGGTCCACCTCCAGCCTCCTGGGGGCGGGGGGGGCTAACAACTTATGCATCCCTCCCTTTGAAGGAACAACCCTGTGTGTGTACCATTCCAGGTTCCCCTGGTGATTATCTCTGAGAACAAAGACCTCCCTGCCTTCTACAGTATCTGGTTTACTCATTTAACTCACAATCCATATAGACCTACCTCATCCCTTTTTAGATTATTTTATAACACTATTACTTTTAGAGTATTTTATGGACATGACATCATTCTTTGTCCAGCACCCTAAAGACTGGATAAACATGCTTAAGTTCTTTGTAGTCTGCTGCTGTGCCTGGAAAAAGGTCTGCAGCGAACACTGTTGGTCTAAAGTGTCCTGTTGGTCTAAAGTCCCTCACCTGCACTTCCAAAGGCCAAACAGCTTAGAAATGCTGGACATCTTTCAAATGTTTGGCACACTCCTTGGGCAGCTAAACTCTAGCTGGGCTGGTGTGAGGCTATTTATAGTTTTTATGGTGCTTTACTGTGAATTCATGCATCTTTTTCGCTGACGTACAACTGGCTTTGATTATAGGTTGTTATCCCAACTCCCTCTCGGGCTGTTACAAAACACACTGTAGCGTGTACACCAACTTATCCTTCCAAAGTACAAGCAATTTGAATTTTTGAAGCATATTTAGCACCAAGAGCTTCCAATAGGTGACAGTAACCCTGACACTTTGTATGTATTTGAGTTATATCTTCAGGATAAATTTAGAAATGCTGAATTGCTAAAAGCACATGCACTTTAACTTGTGATAAACACTGTCAAATTGTTCTTCAAGCACTAACTTGCAAGTACAGATAATAATGATGTGAGAAGGAAGTATATTTATTAGTATAACATAATGTTCTAAGATTAGAAAATAATAACAGAGCCTCAGTAAACTCTAACTTGGTATTCTAAATATTATTCCAAATTAAGATAAATTATAGCTTTTTAAAATTTTGGCATAATAAAAGTCAACTAAGCCTAAAACCTTTTGGTTTTAGCATGATACTTTTATTCAAATAAATACTTGTTCAAACAACTGTTCACATATTTATCAAGAGCCTAGTAAATGTCAGCCATTGATTGAGTGCTAGAAATACAATGAGTAACAACAACAACAGCTCTTGGAGTTGATCCTTTGGTATGTCAAAGGATAATAAACAAGAGAAACAAGTACAAATTTTAGATAAATACATGATTTTTAGGCAAGAGCTTCTTTTTTTTTATTACATGGATAATATCTCTTATAATCAAAGGTTGGAAATCAACCAAGAAATGGAAAGATTCATAAACACACAGCTTGACACAAAAGTAGGTCATTTCTAATGCACCCTCTACCAACACAAGGAAAACAAAAGTAACTCAACGCTGGTCTATGTCCCTCAGAGCGGAGGCCTCAAAAGTGGCTGGGATCCTACAGGTCAGATGGGAGGCTGCACTCCATCCAGGCTAGCTTGGAGAGGAGCAGGAAAAGGAAGCCGGGCAGCAGCCTGCTTCTAGATGTCTATCAGGAGGCTTTCAGGGTAAGAAGAACAGCATTTGGTGACATGAACAGATTTGAGCTTTATCACAACTTTACTCTTTTCCCCCAAATTAATGTTTTTTGGTTTTTGATTCTTTAAGATTGATTTTTATTTTTATTATGTGTATGAGTGTTTTGCCTGCATGTATCCTGTGCACCACTTGTGTGTCTGGTGCCCACAGAGGCCAAAAGAGAACACCGGGTCCCCTGGAACTTGAGAAGAAGATTGTGAGCCACCATGTGGGTGCTGGGAAGTGAACCTGGGTCCTCTGGAAGAGCAGTCAGAGCTCTTAAGTGATGAGCCATCTTTTTAGCCCTCAATTGAATATTTTGTTTTGTTTTTCAAAAGATTGATAAGGATGGTAAAACTTGAGGGATATGATGAAATTTTAGAGTCAACTAACTATCAAAGACCTCACTGAGGAGTGAAGAGAACAAAATAAAAATGAATAAGTAAAAGCTTCTGTTGACAACTACTATATGCAGCATTCCTGCTCAGGGAATCAACCACAAGAGAGAAGACAAACTCCACAGCCCTGAACACAATACACCCAAGTATGCAAAATAAATAAATATATTAAGAATAAAATGAATCAAAATTTTGAAACTAAAACCAGAACTGGACACAGAACAAGCAAAACTGACTGAACACAGGAAAGAACTAGAAGAGTAAAATTGTAACAGAAACGAAAGCTGATGTAAAGATGAGAAACACTGTTTTCAACAGAGCGGGGTGGCCCTCCCACACAACACCTGCCAGGAAAGCAACCATGAACTCCTTACAAAGAGAGCAAGCTCCAGTGTTCTAAAGAGGAGATGTGAGCAGGCATGGTGTGAAGGAAAGTCCACAGAACACTCCAGGTAGACCAGGTCCTGGACCATAACGACAACTCAAGCAATTTGATACAGAAAGAGGACTCCATGTATTCTGACTATACCAGCATGAAGCTAGAAAATCCCAACAGACTACACCTGGAAGCCAGTACCAATTTTTAAAAGAATTATTATTTTTATGTGTATAAGTGCTTTGTCTGCATGTATGCCTATGTGTCACATGCATGTCTGGTATACATGGAGGCCAGAAGAGGGCACTGGATCTCCCAGAACTGGAGTTCTATGTTTGTGAGCCACCGTGTGGTGCAGGGATCGAACCTGGGTCCTCAGGAAGAGCAGCCAGTACTCTCAACCACTGAGCCATCTCCCCAGTCAAATTCCAACCTTTGAAATCTCTAAAAACATGAACATTAAGTAACACTTTTAATAATTCATAAAAGAAAACCTCAACATAAATTAATAAAACAATCTAGGGCTAAAAGGATGAAAATAACAGCAAGGCAGTAGTCAGCAAACATGGGATGCGGTTAGACCGGGCTGCGAGGGACATTTATGTCATTAAATGCTTATACTTAAATGCTTACACCAGCCAGGAAGAAGAATTTCTAAATAAGTAACCTAAATTTTTATGTCAAGAAACGGGAAAAATGGTTTATTTTAACCCAATGAAAGCAGAAAGAAGATAATTAAAACATGTAGAGCTAAAGTCTCTATGGAAAATATATAAGCAACTGGGAAGGAAAAAAAAAAATCAGTGAGGCGGAAACATGGCTCTCTGAAAACCCCAGCAAATGGAAAAACCCCTGCATAGCTGACGATGAAAAGATATCAGCATCAAGAATAAAATAGAGCCAGGCGGTGGTGGTGCATGCCTTTAATCCCAGCACTTGGGAGGCAGAGCCAGGTGGATCTCGGTGAGTTCGAGGCCAGCCTGGGCTACCAAGTGAGTCCCAGGAAAGGCGCAAAGCTACACAGAGAAACCCTGTCTCGAAAAACCACAAAAAAAAAAAAAAAGAATAAAATAGGGGGGATTACTAATGCAGCCAGTAAAAAGAAATTCCAAGAATAACTTGATGCTCCAAAGTTGGCAACCCCGGAAAATGACATGTTTTTCCAGACTCACAAATAACCAAACCCCACACTATTACACTCTCTTGAGAACAGTCTAGATTATGACTACCCAGACCTACGGCCCATAACTCCCCCATTACATCCTGCAGTGCTCCATGCTGTCTCCTGGAAATGCTCAGCGAACAAAACCAACTACCTGTCAAAAGGGCCGTGGTCAGCCATGCCTTACATGGCAGTATCTGAACCTCGGCCTTCTGCGTTCCTGACCTCTAATGAACCTCATCATTCTCTACCAAAATGAGGGATGTTCACGGTCCACACAGATCGTCGATCCCCTCTTCACTGCAGACCCATGAGCAAAAGGGCAAAGAGGTTTCGGTTTACACATGAGAAATGTTGAGTTCACCACGGAGAAGAAGCCTTCTGAGGAGATACAGAATGAAGAAAGGACAGCGCCATGCTAAGCCCCACCCTCCTTACCCAAGGATGCGGGGAGTTGTGTGGTGTACAGACTCACTCTCACCTGACAGCTTTACAAAAATATCTTGGTCAGCAAAAGGAGGAAAACTCTAATCAGAAAATTTTCATAGCACAAGCTGTAGGGAAATTATGTATCATCTTTTGGATTTTTATTCAAAATTTTACTGACTTTATTATATCCCAAGTGATAGGATGGCTTTATTTATGATAAAAAAAATATTTAGCCATCTTTAACATGTTGATTCATACCAAAGGATGCTCAGGTGTGGCTCTTGAAGTTTTATAGAGGAAAGGTTTGAAAAACTCATCACCTGACACATAAAAATGAACAATTTCCTTCTATTCCATTGTGTACCAGATGCCAGCAGACGGCTTAATAGCAGTTTCTCAGTTTGTTTGTTTTTTTACACTTTTTTGAAACACGAATAAATAATTTTCTGCTATCCTTTCAGTTCCAGTGAAATATGGTCATGAAGATGTTCATGAATACATCTGCAGACGCTGATAAAGACCAGGCTGTTGGCTCCACTACCTGATAACAACAGAATGTTTTTACAGAGAAGAAATAACGCACGTGGCCCAAACACACTCACACTTTGTTCCTGAGATTCACTGCGTGCAGTCACGTGGGGACCGCTCAGAGAGACAACCTGGTAAGATTATCGGGAAGCAGCACGTGGAGAAGTGAATAAAGACAGTAGGAAAATGCTCACAGAGAAAAGACAAGGAGCTGGAATGACTACTCAGTGGCCTTGCCCCTCCTTGCTGGGACTAAAAGGAGGCTCAGGCTGTACCTGTGTCCCAGTCACTCCAGAATGATCTACTGGCCTCCCAGTGGCCAGTGGAACAGTGGATGCAGGTGCTCTGCAGAGAGCCCCTAGCAATTCCCAAAGGACACTACTCTGGAGGGTATTGACTTGGTTCCTCTACTTTGCCAATCCCTTCCACATGTGTGTACATGCCTGCACACGTGCACACACGGAGTCTTGGGGATCATTCTGAAAGATGGGAGCAGAGATCATCAGGGCTTGTGGTTTACTACAAAAGCATATCACCCAGCACAATGGAAAGCCACGTGCCCCGGCCGGGATGTACAGAAGGTACGGGATGCTCTGGAGAATGTCACCATCAGCTGGGGTGATCGGATTTTTCAATGGTGATCCTAACGCGGTTTTCCAGGTCCAGTAAGGTTTGATAAAATTTTTCAGCGGTGTCTTCGTCTATGTCCATCTGGAAAACAAGCACAAAGAGAGATGTCTGCAAAAGAAAATTAAAACCAACTGTGTGAAAGCAAAGTGAGGGCGTCCATGTGTGTAAGAGAACCGGAAGCTAGGAGGGGGCAGAGAGGGCCGTTCGGGGACAGCAGGAAACACTAGAGAACCTGAGGACATAAATGCTCATGTAAACTCAGCACCCACCAAACCTCCCACTGCTTGTAAAGATATGAAATGCGAGTCTCCTAGTACCCAACCAACTTCTAAAGGAAGAGAGGAGAAGGAAATCAAGAGTCCGAGTTTCTACAGATGCTCACCCCCACCCAAAGGGCTTCTGTGTGCGAGAAATAGGAGGTTCTGTCTTAAGTCACTGTTATTTTGCATTCTTGTTCTTCCTGCAGAAAGTCTTACTTTAAACTGATAATAAGAACCACCTTTCGGCTCCTACAGTCAGGCTCTCTTTTTTCCACGTCAGCAAACTAGAATCTTCTTACAACTGAAAGGCTAAGGATTAAGGATACTTTTTAACATTTTGAACCTAACATTTATCCTCATTGAATTCTGTTAGTTCTGTGTTCTGAAATTGGAAATGTTAAAGATCTCTCCTGTTCAATCTCGCCTTTGTTTCTTAAATTAAATTTAGTCCTTGATGATTCTGCATTCTTATTACATTCATCCCCACCCTCTCTTCCTGTCTTATCCCCCTCACCCCCACTGCTCAGTCTTCCTGCTTCCTACCGTTCTGTCTTTGTGTTGTGGCACACTGGCTCTAACCAGGGTGGTCCACATGTGCGTGGCTGAGGAGGTCCACTGCAGAACGGAGCGCTCACCAATGAACACACACAGCAGAAGACAACGACTCCCAGTCTCCCAAGATCCATCAGCAGCCACTACTTCCCCATCCTTAACAGAGGGGAAGCGGGTTTCCCCCAAATGAACCAAAGGCAAAAATAGTTTCTTCGATGCATTTCTTAGAAAAATTATATGAAATACCTGGGTTTGTAAAATTAAACATTGTCTCCCCTTGATAAAGTAAATCACTCCCTGTAAGGTTATAAGATAGCAAATTTAAATAAACCCTGAAAGCCCTAACGTGAGCTTATTATTAATTGCAACAGAGTTTCCCAAAATGTATGTTTTAGATGGTAAGGACTGTGAATTAACCCAAATTTGAGTTTAAAAAACAAGAACAAAAACTCAGAGCATGGAGCATGATGGTGTTTATCTTCGGTCTCAAAACTCAGAAGGCAGAGGCAGGCCGATCCCTGTGATCCACCTCGGCAGGCCAGCCTGGTGAAACAGGCAGTTTGTGCTGGCTAATGCTGTATCATCTTGACACAAGCTACAGTCATTTTGGAAGGGGGAACCTCAATTAAGGAAAATAATCCCACGAGACTGGCCTGTGAGCAAGCCTGTGGTACATTTTCTTGGTCAATGAGCGATGTGGGAGAACCCACCCCCCCCACCCCACCCCCACCCCCCGCTCACTGTGGGCAGTGCCATCCCTGGGATGATGGTCCTGCGTGCTATCTTCAGAAAGCAAAGGGAGCGAGCCATGGGGAGGGATCGAGCCGGTAAGCAGCGTTCCTCCACAGCCTGTGCTTCAGTGCCTGACTCCAGGCTCCTGCCCTAGCTTCTCTCAATGACGGACTGTGACGTGCAAGTGTAGGGGACTTACACAAGCCCTTTCCTCCTCAAGTCGCTTTGTCATAGTATTTTATCTCAGAACAGAAACCCTAACTAAGACAGAGTTCCAGGCCAGCCAGAGTTACATGGTGAGACCCTGTCTTAAAACAAAACAAAACAACAAATAAATAATGCATGCAGTAAAAAAACAACAATTTGCAATCCCCAAGATCAACCATGTCACCTCTGTATCGCTTAACTGTTTCAACATCTCAAAGCCATTCCTGGGCTAACACACTGTGGGGAACCCGGCATGGGAAGACAACAGGAAGGGTCGTTCAACCCTACCTGCCTGAGGGACCACTTCTCGAAAATGTTCTAAAGTCATTAGTATCCAACACAACATGGACATGAAAGGCTGCTTTTTACTAGCAGGTGACATGGGCAGCAACCCACAAGGCTGGCTGTCACTGGACTCAGGCTGCTGCCAAGCTGACAGAGGTCACCTACTTGCTTCAAATTAGTTGTATTTTATACCAATGCATCCTCAGTAATGGGGCAGAGAAAAGCAGGAGACTACAATACCCTTGCCTGTGACAAAGCGACAGCATGTTCTTATAGTCCCAAGTAAATGTTCTCACTCCCCTGCCGTGCAGTTTTATATGATTTCTCTTAAGATTCGACTCCAAAAGATGAAATACCAATTTGATTTTCCCTATTCTACCCCTTGCCTCTTCAAAACATCTGTCTGACAAAGCTTATAATAATCTGAAACAGAATGCACATTCCAAGAAATGTTAATGTAGCACTGAAAGATACTCTATGTTCCACACAACTCACGATGTGTTTATTAAGTCTCCACATGAGTCAGCACACTAGGGAAGCAAGTACAACCCCTCAAAAAAGCTTCTAGGCTGACAGGGGCAGCTGAGGGTGAGTGCTACACAGAACGGGTATGAGAAATCCCACAACAGGACACAGGACCTGGTCTAAAGAGACAGAAGGTTGAGAACGTGAGCCCGGAAGGATGAACGGACATCAACAGGAACACAGGTAAGAACGGCTTAGCTGGAAGAAGATGGCCAAAGCTCTGAGGCAGGAGGAAGCAGAAAGCAATAAAACAGACCACGACCATGCCAGAGTGAAGACTCAGGCACAGAAGGTGGGGGCTGATTGGTCAGCATCACAGGCCCAGAGCATCAGAACGGGACAACATAAACAGACTTACCTTTTGGCCCTTGACGTAATTAGTCCCGAAGCCCGTGGTGAAGCTCAGGTATTTGGTCAGAGGATTGAGAGACTCAGGTTTTTGGTGAAAAAGCCACACCTGGGAAGGAAAAGCATGTCAGGGAGAATGCTCCTGCCCCAAGCAGGGGAGATCTGCCGTCAGTACTTTACAGAGCTCCCCCATGGAATCACAAGATTCAGCTCAGAAAGCACCAGCTAATCTCAGTATCTTTGGAAACTGCTGTCATCTTTTGAAGGGAGAATAGAAGGCAGCCTGCTCCACAGCAGACTGTGAGAGAGAGTCTAAGCAAAGAACAAAACGCCCCTCGCTCTGCCCGTCGTCCTCTCCCTCAATTCCCACATAAATTCATGTCTCTGACACTGGCTTATTAAGTAAGTATCATTCTTGGCACACACACCACAGCAAAGCACAGCTGGCTGGGATAGTTTACCAGTGAGAAGATGCATATGTCCAAAAGATGTACACAGTATAAAAAAGGAGGTCTTCGTCCCTTTCCAATTTTACAACAACGTAGCTTACGTCTCTGGGAGGAACCCACTCTTCTTCCATGTGTGGGCATGCAAAGAAATATCTCTTCGTTTAGAAATACCTATCTTTCTCTCTTAAACGGAAGCATGACACCCAGAAGTTTTCACTTGACCTTCGCAAACTTTCCAATCTGTGCACACTGAGCTGTTTCATTTGCTTTTTAAGGACAGAACCCTATCTTGGGCACGGGCTGTAATTTATATGTTCAGCTTTTAATTGAAAGACATATGCAGCAGACTGCGGTCTTTATGAATACAAACTAAACCACGATGGATGTTGAGTACATTTATAAAAGTAATGCCACAAATGCAAGTTCTTGGTGAAGGGGCGTGCGTGCCTTACGATCTGACTCATCTTGCCGTGAGTCTTCACAGAAGCTGCGATGCAGCGTTCTCACGCCCTTATCATCAGCCACCACAGCCCTGTAGCAAATGTCCTACTCTTTTGCTAATCTGAGCTGAGCTCGGAATTATAGATTTAATGTACACTTCTCTTAGCATCAATGTGAACGAGCATCTTTTCACATGACTGAAAACGTTCAGAATCTGTGTGTCTGTCTTTTGCCCATGATTCCAACAAGGGCTCCCTTCCCTTCACTGGGATTCTTGATTAACTAAGAAAATATTTACCTTTGTCTAAGACAGATGTTTGTATTCAACCTCGTACTTTCTTTATAGTGGACTCTGGGATCATGCTAACTTTATTTTAATTTCCACTCTTTTAAGAGTTTCCACATTTAGATAAGCCTTCTGAAATGTCACATAAATTCCCCATATTTTCCACTAAGAATTTTATATTTTAATTTTGACATATAAACCTCTTCAACTATCTAGAATATTACTTTGGTGGATGGCATGAAATAAACATCATAAACTCCCTTTTGGCTACAACCTTGCTGAAAAAGCCCATCTTTTCCCTCTACCTTTTTCCTCTATTTTTTATACACTAAATCTCTGTATGTTTATGGGCCAGTTTCTAAACTTTCTGTTCTGCCCCATTGAAACATCAGATTGTATTTGTTGATGATTAAAATCTTCTTTTAAAATCTGAAATAGCGCCAGGAGGTGGTGGCGCATGCCTTTAATCCCAGCACTCAGGAGACAGAGGCACGCAGCGGATCTCTGTGAGTTCGAGGCCAGCCTGGTCTCCAAAGCGAGTTCCAGAAAAGGTGCAAAGCTACACAGAGAAACCCTGTCTCCAAAAACAAAAACAAACAAACAAAAAATCTGAACTAGCATGAGTCCTCTGCAATGCCCCTGCTTCCATTGACTGCTCGGATCTTATTGTATATAAAATAAAGGTTTATATGGGTGAAAAACATGCTCAAGGGTTCCAACCCAGGAACTGGAGAACTTGGATCTGAATGGTAACTATAATTGTGGCAGCCTCATGTTTGGCCTGTGCCTTAGCTCAAGAGCACACTCCCGTCCTGAGGAGGCAAAACTTACAGAGATTGAAAGAGATCCTAAGTGCTCACACGATCTGCTACCATCCCACCGACCCTTAGCAACATCAGCAGGTGACGTTTGGGGTGGTCCCCTTCTGCTCATCTACATTTTAGAAAATTATAGCAAAACCACCATGGATTTTGTTTAATGTTTATTTGTAGTCTATGGGTGTTTTTCCTGCATGTATGTACATGCCTGAAGAGGCATTAGAAAGAACCCTTGGAAGTGGAGCTACAGATAGTTGTGAGCTGCCATATGGGTGCTGGGAACTGAACTGGGGTCCTCAACTAGAGCAGCAAGTACTATTAACCACTGAGCTGTTTCCCCAGCCCTTCACAATGAAGTTTTTGAACTGTGACAAGAGGATCATGGCGTTCAACCTATCTGAATCGCCTGGTCCCTCAGAGCCTAGATCTAGTTCCACTCTAGTCAAAGTCAGCTCTAACTACGGCAGCCCCAATGGGTCCAACATTCCCCACCCAATAAAAGGTTGTCCTGTTTTCTTGCCTACCTTATGAATTCATTACTTTTCTAAACATAACTCGAAGCTACTTAGTAACAGAGGATTTTTCTCTTCTAAACATATCCCACCATTGATGCTCAATATATATATATATATATGTATATATATATATATTGATATATTGATATATTGATATATTGATATATATATTGAGCATAAGACCCATAAGACCCACCTCCCCATGGGAAATCATTCACTGTCACCACCTTGCTTTAACTGACTCTACAGTGTCCTGCCACCTCTCCTGCATCTCCTGGTGCATCTTGCTTCTATGGAAGTGTGTTTTCTACAGTCATGCTACCCAACATCCCAGCAGATGCTAAATGTCAAACTTCTGATATCTTGTTTGTAAGACGATACCTACTTTAGTCCCAAATGGAACTTGTTTGCCCACAGACCTGATCCCAAAAAAAACAAGAGGTCCCAAACCTCCAAAAGCCGGGAACCCTTAAAAAAAGTCCCCAAGCCGCGGGGAACCCCAACCATAAAATTATTTTGTTGCTACTTCATAACTGAAATTTGGCTACTGTTATAAATTGTAAAGTAAATAGCTGCTCTGCAGGATATCTGATATGTGACCCCTGTGAAAGGGTCATTAGATCCCAAAGGGGTCGCGACTCAGAAGTTGAGAACCACTGCCCTACAGCCTTTGACCCTGACACTGCTCACTGGCATCAGTGAACTTACCCCTTCCATCACTAAGCCGTTTTAGAGGCTATGAAACTCCAGTGATGTACGTACCAGTGCTTCGGCTCCATTGTACGGCGTCAAAGTGAAAGCGTTTGCAAAAAAGCGAATCTGACCAAGGGAAAACAACAGGTATTAGGTGGCTGTTGAGAGCTGTAGAAAAAAGTAAATTATTTCACTTAAATCTAAGAAAGAAAATTTGCATTTATGATTACAGCATCATCAAAAACAAGTCAAATGGAAGTCTGCCACTTAAGAGTTGAATTCTTCATATTTCATAACTCTGAATTTAAAAAAAAAAAAAGTGTTTACCGCTTACCAGCCACATCAGCGGCAGGAGCAATGTCCACACAAAGGGAGGCAGAATTCCGTACGTCAGGTTGGTCATTACCACCCCTGGGCACACCACACTGGAATACAGACCCTGGGGGCACAGAGGAGAGTCACACTAAGATTTTAATTTGATGCATAGTGACTCAGTTTAGGGACGCTCGGTAATAAAAGACACACACAAGATGAGCCGGGAATACCAGGGAATGGCAAGTCTCCACTGCAGCTGTCCTTGTCGCTTAGTAGGATCATTTAAGTCTAAAATCACTTACGAGGATCAGGAGCAAAAGTTAGCAAGGTCAAGTCTATTCTCAAGCAATGTACAGTTTAAAGAACAGCCAGTCTTGATGATGGGAAAGAAAAGTGGGGCCTGATTACCAAGATCTTCTATTATTGGCTTAATTAAAGATCAACTCATCAATCCCAAAAAGTATATAATAGGCCTACTGAGTTTAATTCTTATCTTCAATTAGCTTCTGATTCATTAAATACAGTGGCTAATTTAAAATATACGCTGTTTCTCTACAGCAGAGGTTCTCAATCTGTGGGTTGCAACCCCATGGCAAACCTTTATCTCCAAAAATATTTATATTATGATTCATAACAGTAGCAAAATCACAGTTATGAAGTAGCAATGAAAATAATGTTATGGTGGGGGGTCACCATGACATGAGGAACTGTATTGAAGGGTCGAAGGGGTCACAGCGTTAGAAAGGTTGAGAACCCCTGACCTAGAGGAACATGGCTGAGCTGGACGCTCTCGGCATCAGGAGGAACAAAGATCTTCAACTCAAAATCTCTAGCCAGGTCCTTAATGAAGGACTGGTCACTATAAGGACCTATCGTGTGTGTGTGTATGTGTGTGTGTGTGTGTGTGTGTGTGTGTGTTGGCATTTATATACATACACACACACACACACACACATATATATACATATATAGATATATATGCCAACATATATGGCTCTATAAAGAAAGCCTCAATTAACACAGAGACTGTGGTAATAAGAATCACCCTCTGCCAACCACAGTAAGCCCTACTGCTCTGGAATTAACTTTGCTACATTCTTTATTGCTGTTAGAGTGGCCATTCTAACTCATTCTTGCTACTTTTGCTCTCTTACTCTCTTTTTTCCTTTTAAATAAAAAGTAGGAAATGGCCATACAGAGTAGCTCACCCCTGTAATCCTAGCCCTTGGAAGGAGGCAGAAGTTTGAATTTGAGTTTCACCTAAACTACCTAACAGCCCAAGGCCAGTCAAAGTTACACAGTGACACCCTGTCTCAAAACCCAGGAGCTAGGTTGCTCTGGGGTTGTGGTTCAGCTGATGGAGTGCTTGCCTAGCGTGTGTAAAATCGGGTGTGGTGGTGTGCACCATCACCAGCTGTACACCAAGTTTGAGGCCAGCCTGGGAGACACAAGATGCTGAAGAAGGATGGGGAGACAGAGAGAGAAGACGGAAACCCGTAACTGGAGAGCTGAGGTCATAGCTCACATGGTACGGCACCACGCGCAAGGGCCCAGGTTTCATCCCCAGCACCAAAAAAACTAAAACAATGATTAATTTGTTGAAAAAGTAAAATCAAAAGTATGGAAAATATCATTAGAAAGGCTTCAAATGGAATCCCACAATGTAATTCTTTCTAATTCTTTCTTGGGAATGCCGAGAAAGAAGAATCATGGGCTGAAAACAAATTCTGGAAGACTTTAAGACAGAGCTCCATCAGCTTACTCACTCTTACTCTCTTTTTAAAAAGATAAAATCCCACACCTTACTTGACAACGAAAATGTAAATAAAATCACAGAATTTTTTATGAAACATGGAACAACTTTAGCTTGACCCTGCCTTCTAAAAAGGGCGTGTCGACGGGACTTGGAAGCAGCTGCGGCAGGTTTTAAACATCTCAAAAATGTTAGAAGGGAACTCACAGTTGGACCAACACACTGACTCCAGGCTGTCATGACAACCAGGAAATGCCCATGGGAAAGACAAGAATTCCTGTTAGGATTTTGGACCTGGGCAATCAGTTAATACACAGCAGCAGTGACCTGCAGGTGACCATGGTCAGTAGGAGCCAGCATGACTGATAAGGGTTAGTTTCCCCTTTATATAAACACCCTCCTCAGTCTGTAACCTTACAGAAACAGAGCGATGGAGTCTTATCATCACCTTCCAGAAGGTTTATAACATCTGGTTGCTTTTTAGTCATTGGCATGACAGAAGCTGAAAGGCATGAGGCTTGGTAGGGGAAAAAGTCAGCCAGCCCTGCACGCCACGGTAAGCGCTGCCCATTCACGAGTCATGTGACCTTTGAGAGTTCTCATCTGAAAACTGGAATAGTAAGAGCTACCCAGCTGCAGGGGGAAGACACTAAACGACACACACAGGAGGAGTAGAGCACCGGAAGTACTTAGTCAGGGGCTGCTCTGTCAACAGAGGTCTGAGTTCCTGAAGAATGCAGAACAGTAAAGAAACTGCATATTCCTAAAAGGACCGGAGCTGTTTCTCTCTCCCCTAAGGCTTCTGTTACGAAAGTAAGCGGAAGCCAGCCTTGCTCTAGAAATCGAGACTCTGAATGGTTAGCTTCTGTATCTTGAGACAGGCCTTGCCTTCTGGTTGAAATTCCTGTTCAAAGCCACGTTCAGGAGGTCGGTGGCGTATTTGGAAGAGCTGTAGGGCTCCTGGCCTTTGGTGTGCTGGATGTCCTCAAGACTGAAGTTAGATTTCTTTGCATTGCGAGAGGAGGTCCAGATGAGCTGAGAGGGGATGTCTGTGTGGCAGAGAAGAGGTTCCAGTTCCCGAATCTGAGGGAAGAAGACACAGAATAAAAGGCATCACAATCCACCAAGGGGTATATGCTAACAACGTAAAACTATTGTGTACGTATACTGGAATTCAACAGCAAATGGATGGGGATATGGCGGCAAGAAACGGGTTTCTTGTTGCTACAAGAGGAAGAAGCTAAAAGGATTACAGACAGCAATGAATTCGGGTTAGAGACATCAGCATTTCCTCATGTTGGAGTGGCTACATCCATGTATAGATATACATACACCCGTCAGTTTGTAAACACACATTTATCTCCTTGGTTTATTAGCTGAGAGGGCCTAGAACTATTCATATCTCAGTAGCATCAAGCACCAGATCTTCATTTATAATAAGTTTATCTTGGTTACATAATAAAACAAAAGAAGAAAAACAAAAAAACTTGTAGGGATAATCATATAAATACATCTAATCACCATTCTATGACATATTTAAAAGTAGTATATGTTACAGAAACTAAAGAGAGAATTTTTTTTTTTTTTTCCCCAGAGACAGGGTTTCTCTGCGTAGCCCTGGCTATCCTGGAACTTGCTCTATAGATCAGGCTGGCCTCAAACTCACAGACTCACAGAGATCCACCTGCCTCTGTCTCCTGAGTGCAGGGATTAAAAGCATGCACCACCACCACTCAGCTGAGAAATATCATTTTTAAATGAAAAACTCTGATGTAGAAAATATATAACCATGAGTCTACATGAATACAAAATTGAATATTTTAATAAAAATAGAAGAGAGAAATTTTCCTCAAAGAAAAATTCCAAACAATTTCTATAGATAATCCATCTTTAAGAAGTTGAAGTTCAACTCCTTCGGTGTAGGTTACAGCCAGTAACTTTCTTCTGAACACTACAGTATGGAGAAGGAAGCGTGACTTCACAGTAGAGAAGCCTGACAAGCCACGTCAAGCCGGGTGATCAAGGTCAACCCGGAAAGGTCATAAATTGTTGTCGTCATCATTCTGAGCCAGGCTCTCACTACGCTCTACACTATGCACTGCGTAGCACAGGCTGGCTCTGAACTCTCAATCTTCCTGCCTCCGTCTCCCAAGTGCTGGGATTACAAGCACGTGCCAAACACGCCTTGCCTTGGAATATGTACTCCTGATATGAGGTGATAAGAAAGGCACTTAATATATACAGTCTTGCCAAAAACATTCTGCAGTCAAACCACGAGACAAACATCAGAGAAATCTAAATGAGAGACAGTCTGTGAAAAGCCTGGGTAGCAAGCTCATGAACTTCAAGGTCATCAAAAACAAGGCAAGTCTGTGAAATTCCCACAACAAAGACCCTAAGCAGCCTTGACTATTAAATGCAATGTGGTGCCCTGGATTGAATCCCAGAGCTGATAATGAGACTTCAGAAAACTGGCAACTTAAGTTAGTATAGACTTTACTTAATAACATATCAGTACTGTATCATGTATTTTGACAAATGTACCATACTGATATAAAAGGCTAATAAAAAAAGAAACTGAATACAGGATGTACAAGAACTCTCTGTACTATCTTTGCAAAGGTTTTGTAAATCTACAACTATTGGAAAACATTAGTTCATTGAAGAAAAATCTACCAACATAGCTTCCAGATGTGCCCCATGCCGCAGCAGACAAATAAGTCAAACTTAATCAGGAAAGTCCCCATAGATGAGACCAAGTCAGTCACCCACTCCTAAGCAACAATACCTCACTCAACCTGGAGCTCACAAAAAGAATCCCCACTCTTGATAACGACCATTATTGTCTGGTCATTATTTTTATATGCTAATCAAAGTAGTGATGGATCTGTTAGTTCAATTACACATGAACCCTGAATTCAAGTTTGTGTTTCATGAATCTGTGGTCAGATTCCTAAACCTAACTGAAGTAGAAAGCAGTGCAATCACAGCTGTAGAATCATTTTATGTGGTAAGTGGGTTCGGACACCCCTAATGACATGTCTGCCTTACATAAAGACATACTAGGACACCTGTGATAGCCGCCCCATGACCACAGCTTTCATTCGCTTTCCTAACAATTTAACTCTATAAACAGTAGATTCATCAAAACGTAAGACTATCAATATTATTACTGAATGAATTCTCTATCATTACCACTTTTTTATTTTAATACTGACTGTTTATTTGTTGGCTTGTTTGTGTGTTTTGAGAAAGGGGCTCACACTGTAGCCCCAGATGGCCTCAATTTGCATGGATCCGACCTCAGCCTACCTGTTGGGATACAGGTGTGAGCCCTCACTTCTCAATTACTGTGAAAGCTGTCCCATAGAGTGAGCCAGAGGCAACATCACCGAACACACTAGATAAGTCACACATCTCATGCTAAATCCGCTATAAATGCCTAGAACTGTCCTTCCGAGTATGGGCACTTAAGAAGAAACCAAGATAGAAGTCAAATCTGTGTCTACTGACAGCATGCTCACTATCCCAGGCCATCTGAAGCCAAGCCCAGGTTGTAGAACTCCTTAGAACAGAACTCATGTTCTTTTTCTGCTGCGTACGTACATTGTTTCCAAAGGTGACTGGGTGTCTGGTAATCCACTTCCTCCATTCACCATTCTGAGGCCAGTGATCAGATTTAAATACTCAAAGATTTAATGCTAACCATAAACTAAGGAGCTTCACAAAATAGTCGTGTGTCCATGCATGCCCTCAGGATCACCGTAACAAGTATGGAATTAGTATGACCCAAGCCTTTTTACCAGGATAAAGTGGCCAAAGAGATTGGTTTCAAACACCTCCTGGAACCCGTCAGCAGTGACCTTGTCATTCTGGGTCAACAGTCCTTCCGCTGTGGAGAACACATGAATCACATTTCTGAAAAAGCAGAAGACAATAGTGTGATTTTTAATGTTCCTGTAACTGATAATACTAAAGATGTCACACACACACACACACACACACACACACACACACACACACACACACACACACCTTCTTTGGTTCTATAATGACAAAAATGCCAATTTCTTGGACATTTGTGAGTATTAAATGAATTCTAAATGCTTCTCACCCCCCAAATTCACGGGTGTACTTAACATGCTTTCCTGTCCTCCCTACCCCATCAGATTACATGTCAACTACTCTGAGGCAATCACAGCTATGGCAATGAGAAAAAGTCTTCACCCACATAAGTGTTTTTAATTACTGAAAAAAAAATTAAGCAAGTTGTCTTTTTCACTAGGAATTCTAAGAGCATCAAACAAACTAACAGTGTGTCTTGCTATGAGATCAGCTTAGTAGTGGGATTTGTGCATGTTATTTTCATGGAAGAAAAGTAAAGAGGAAGTGAATACACAGCCCACATCAAAAATCTCTATGAGAAATAAATGCATTGGGTTGCAAACAAGACTTATTTCTGACTCTGGTTTGTGGTCAGCTTTTAAAGCCACTATACTCGTGTGTATCAAGATTCTCTCAGGCAGACCCTGTTCTCTGCATCCCCTCAGCGTACTGGTAAGAGTGGCTGACACACACAGCGAGGCATCTTCCCATGCAGCCTGACAGGTGCTGGAGGCTGGCTAAGAATGCCACCTTATTTAGACAAATTCCACCAGCAGCCCATTTAGCCACATCAAAAGCTGACAAGCCATCTGATGAGATGGAACACTCCAAAGTTAGAACATTATAAAAACCATGACAACAAGCAATGTTCTCCACAAAGATGAGTATTTGACATGTCTACCATGGTACCAACTCCTCCTATCTATATATCTTCATTCTCCTCAGCATTCCCTGACTCAGCAGACACACCAAAGGCAAAGACCACGGCAGCAAAATGAATGCCTTCCTTGCAATCAGTTCATCTAGACAAGTGGTTCTCAACCTTCCTAAAGCTGCGACTCTTTAATACAGTCTCTCATGTTGTGGTGACGTCCCTAACCATAAAGTTATTTTCATTGCTACTTCATAACTGTGATTTTGCTAATGTTATGAACTGTGATATAAATATCTGTTAGGCAGGTTATCTGACATGCGGCCCCTGTGAAAAGGTCGTTTGAGCCCCCCCCCCCAAAATGGGTCATGACTCACAGGATCTGGAACATGATAATTACCTTGAAAAGATGCTAAAGAGAAAGGCTTTGATATTTAGCTGGGGATTAGGCATGATCCCAGCATTCAGATACAAGTAGTCTAGTCTTTGAAACCTACAAGCAAAATGCCAAAATGACATCATTAGAAAAGGTGACACAAAGCAGCACTCCACCCCTAGAACACAGACGGTCAAAGGACAGACAACCCTTTGTGAACCAACTAAGATGGCCACGCAGGCTATGTAGCACCAGGGTTAAGACAGTTCTTTTTCAGCAGTTCCTCTAGTCACCATGAGTACCTTTGCTCTGGGTGGTTTCAATGGGCTTTCGAGTTAAATCTCTATATGAGAATCCAACTATGGCCCACCAATCAGGCACTGAAGAACCCTCTATCAAACCCACCCTCCTCCTCCTCCAGTGATTTAAGGTCACTCCCATCCCCTGAAACTGTAAGTGCCCTGTGGGGTTTAGGTATTCTCAGTGGGCTTGATCCAGAACACACGTCATGGAGGATGCAGACTTGAGTGAGCCTTTTCAGTTTTGAAACTTCGTAAGCCTTAATACAAATACATCCCTTTGGAACTAGGATCAGAGCAGGCAGGGCGTGCTCCCATGATACTCAGGCAACATCCATGCTCAGAGTATCCCCCAGAATCCTAGGCACCATACTGTGTCCTCTATGTAACCCAGGACAGATCCACAGCTATTAAAACTGGACCTCGAAATACATACTTGGTTGACAATATAGATTATGCACTAGCATTTCTTGACCATAATATCGAATAACCATACGATTCCAATTATTAAAATGACTATTTGAAGTAATGACATTGTTTCACTATAACCACCACTCACCATGCAAGTGAAGCCAGTGGCATCTCAGATTAATTATCCCATTATCTAATTTACAAACTTCAGTAATAGTAACTTATTTTGCTAGTCATGAAGAAGCAATGCTTAGTAAAATGTGGAAATTAAGCTCTGGCTTCAATCGAACAATATAATTAGTGTATTCAAAGATGAAAGGCTTGCCATAGTGTCTCTATCGAGATAAAAACAGCATCAGTATTTCTTATGAGTTCTAACCAAACAGAATACCGTAGGTGGGAAAGACCTGGTACCAGACACAATAATGAATTTGCCAACTTGAAAGGGTATTTCCAAGCTCTCTGGGCTCTAAGGTCACTCCCTCAGCACAGCTCATTTTACAGGACACCCATTACCTCCCCATAGTCCCCTATCCTTTCTCATTGGATTAACCGTAACGCTGCACTACCACGGGAGAAAGCAACCTGTCCAAAGGAGACGTACTTTTGCTTGACTTCCTTTGCACCCCGGACCACCGACGGCAGGCTGCTGACATCCATCTGCACAATGCTGACGTCGGCAGAGGGGTGAGAGGCCAGCAGGGCATCACAAGCAGCTCTTGCTTTGCTCGGGTTCCTGCATGCCAAACACAGGTGGAGCTCATCATCTTCGGCCAGCAGTCGTTTGCAAAGGGCTAGCCCAATGCCACTGAGAAGACAATTCAGGCACAGGGCATGAGTTCAGTGAAATGGTCCTCAATCAAGGCATCTCTCTCTGGCTCAGAAACCTGCCTGTGTCAACATGAGCTCCCATGAGAAGCCCAGGCAGACAGAAGATAACCAAACATTATGTGAAGGAAGGAATCAACCCCATAAGTCATTTGATTAGACTCACATCCAGTTGCTCCCCTCTAAAATAGTTTAATGACAGAGGATTGTAGGGTTTGGGGTACCTGTTACGCTGTGATTTAATACATCCCCAGCAAATGCTGTGAAGAGGATCTTATTAGCTGTTTATTATGTCCACATTTTCTTGTGCTGTCTAGGTCCCTCAAAGGCAAGTGTTCTACCTCCTCCTGGTATTGTTGCTATTGGGACGACTGTAAATCCTGATAAGTGAACAGAGGAGCTTTTGCACTGACCCCCTGACCCCAAGGAGAAAGCAGAGCAGCATGGCAGGAGGTTAAACCCTCATCAACTACTAAAGTACAGCAGAATAACCAAGAGAAAGAAAAAGCCTTCAGTGCAAGTAGACAGAAAGGAATACAAATCAGATGGAGAGGAAGACGGAGAAGCCGGGATGTGAAGCATAGTTCACAGAGGCTATAGAGACACTAGGTCAGAAAGAGCAGTATGAAAGTGCCCAGCAGATGGGGTCAGTTGCCCAGAACCCAGACTGCCAGCAAATAGAACCCCAGTGTGAGTTGGGAGCTCACATAATCTGGTGGCCCTTCCAGGAGGTTCAAAAATATCTGGGCCTACTCATCCTCACTTCAAAATAGCAGACCTTTAGTATAAATATACAATTGCACATACCACAATATATATCAAAGAAACACAAGATCAGACCTGACTTCTATATGCACCTTCCACAAAAAAAAAAAAAAAAAAGAAAGAAAGAAAGAAAAAGAAAAAAACCCACCAAAACCAGTTGACCCAAAGGAGAGGGCATGCTAACAAAAAGTCCAAGAGAGACCCCTCCTACACTGGCTTAGTTAATATGGCCATGGTTAGATCAATATTAATTCCTCAAAAATATCAACGTCACCAGTTGGGGGAAAGGTTGGTCGGTCTCATCCTCTGCACATTGTTCGTGGACAAATAATAAGTCTAGTAGGCAATAAGTAGTCCAAGGGTCAAACCAGCAAGCCTGGAATATCTATGAACTGGTGACTGCATTAGGACAAGCTTTAACAGGAAACGACTGATCGTTCTGAATGTTCCTGGGGAGCGTACGCGAAGTGTGCTCCAGAAATGAGATCTCCCCATTGTCCTGAAGTCCACGGATGCTGACATTTAAACACCCGGGGTGTAAGACACGCGGCGTGTTTGGGGTTAAAGTGAACCGTGGGGAGCTCCAGTAACTACTAGAGACTGGGTCACTGATGGCGCGATGGCAGTCTGAATGAAACTACCAGTGAGCACAGACTCAGCATCACTGCCAGGCTGATCAGTAACTTGCGCTCTAGTTTTCCTTTCCATTTCCATTCTAGTTTTCCTTTATGTTTAATTCAAAGCTCCAGTAACCGAGCACCCAGAGAGGCGAGCATGACCACACCTCTTGGGAGACCCAAAGAAGGGCAGGGAGGGTCTCTTCGGAATCCCCACTGAAGTGAGTCCAGGGTCACCGACCTGCGCTTCCCCGCACCCTGGAACTTAGCCTGCGGGGTTCCGTACGAGGCCTCACCTGCTTGCCCCGGTGATCAAAGCCACCTTCTGCATCGTGCACGGCTCGCAGCGGAGTGAATCTGCACCTGCGACCACAGCAGCTCACAGCCGGGACCAGGATCCGCGCCCTCGCGCACCGCGACCAATCAAGGCTCGTCCGGGCCCCGCCTCTCCTGCGTCATCCGTCCCCGCCTAGGGCCAGCCAATTGCAGCACGGCATCGTCTCTCCACGCCGGGGCCGGGTGGGGTGAGATAGGCCGAGGGGCGGAGCCGCGTGACACAGAAGTCCTGGCCAATCCAGGCAGTCCCCGCGCCCAGTTTGCAGGCCGTGTCACCGTGGGGCGGGGTCTTTGTTCCCGGGTAAGGCGAGCGGGCGGGCAGAACCGGAAGCTTCAGAGGGATGCTGGGAGAGGGTGGGGTGCAGTATCCCAAGTCCAAGGTTACTTCCCATCCTTCGCTAAAGCAAGATCTTTGAGGAAAGGAACATGGAGGGAGGGAAGGGCAAATGCATATAAATGACAACTCCCAGTTTTAATTAAGTTCATTTCCTGTAAAAGTACCTGGTACATCTATTATAATCCTTTCTCCAGCTTTCGCTCTTATAGATGCTTAAAAGTCCCGAGTAACATTGAGTAGAAGTACTAATACTTATGCATAGTACAACTGAACAAACTTCATACCTCTTTCAAAGCTGTGATGACTATGGGTAGCAGCGATCCTAAATGATGGAGATCATCTTCTCTGGATTTTGATCTTTATGTTTTGATTATTGATACCAACTAACTGCTGAAAGTTAACATGGAGTTTTGATCAGTTCTTCAAAGATGGTATCTTAACAGTATTTTCTAAAAGCCTTGGAGTAAAATTCTCCCTGATCTTGAGGTTCTAGACCCAAAGGATCCTTTTTGCTGTGGTTGTTTTGTTTTTGGAGACATGGGTTTGTGTGTGTGTGTGTGTGTGTGTGTGTGTGTGTGTGTGTGTGCGCGCGTGCTGGGGTTAAAGGCATGTGCCACCACCTCCCGGCTCCAAATGATCCTTTTAAACCCTGGAGTGCAGGAGTGACATGTAAGAGAGCAGAGAGAACTATGTGGCTCTCTCAAAGAAAACCCATTTCTTCAAAGAAATCAGCGAGCATAGAGTCTAGAACCAAGCAGCTGTATCCAAACTGCACCCCAGGGTAACGACGAAAGTGACACAAAACTGTAAACATAATTAAAATATTATGAGGTTTATTTTGCGATTTTTTTTAAAGCTCTATGGTGTAGTTCTTAGCGTGAACTTTGTCCATGAAAACATCATATCACAATGACAGGTTGGATGTGTTAGCTAGGGATTCAGCCTCACCACAATCTCAGATGAGAATCGGTGTAGGAACAGCTTTGAATTACATGATGCCCAGAAGACTTCGGAGAAAATCTCTCCTTCTCCCTTTTATCACTACCATCCTAGCCCAGTGTGGAAATCTCGGTGTTTTTCTTTTGTTCTACTGAAGTTGCTGCATCCAACGCCCTGTGACCTTCAAGGGATGGACTGGACTGTTAGACTAGAATGTTTTATTTCAAAACTAAGTTGTCGCAGGGAGGACACAACCCCAAAACAATTGGAATATATTTTAATCCACAGCTGAGTTGGTTGTTTTTTCATCACTCCAAACTCCTCTTGGGTTTGCATTGTTCAAGGGCTTCTTCTGTTGGGTACCAGAACAGTGTGGTACACAGTGAGTCTACCTATCACTGACAAGCTTTGGTAGATGAGTTGAATAGTAGGTGTAGCAACTCTGTCATTATTCATGCCCCATATAATAAATGTGTCACCATCCTAAGCTCTGACACTGATCTCTGGTTCTTTTTATTGTACAGTAGACAAGGATGAGTGAAGTCTCTTGCTCCAATAACAAAGCATTCTTGGTCCTTATAAACTTTCCCAGAGTTGCCTGCCTCTAATTTGCATACAGGACTAAAGAACAACTGCTAGTTGGGGCTGTGTGGCTTCTCTTATTCATATTTTTCACCCCTCTTCCCTAGAAATAATGCATTCAATCTGGCCCAAAACTAACTCAGGATTTTACCCAATTCATTGATGGTAAACAGTCACGTGTTACCCTGTGTAGGATCCAAGTACTACAGAAGAGAACAATTTACAGACATGTGGCTACTTCTTCAAATGGGAAATAAATATATAACTATACATGGAAATTAGTTTTCTTGTTCTCTGCAACTTAACCAAGCCCCTACACGTGGCTGATGGAAAACTGAGTGGACCTAATTTCCATCCTCATTAACAACCTATGTATTATATATGAATAACTTGTCTGTGTGTTTATGTATGGATGGATGCAAATTACCACTCATATCTGCCTTGAAGCCTTGGCAATAGGGGTTGACAGCAGATTATATCTCTCTGAACATCTCCAATCCCCCTGTTTCCTTTTCTTCCATCCAAATTCAACCACTCAGGTACATGAATTCCTGACCTTGGGTCCTGAAATCCTGGACATTGTAGAGACAGAAAGAGCAATCATGAATACTCTGTTTATTCCTTGAGCATTTGTAACCATTCTCTTCTTATCTGCTGTGACAAGTGCTGGAAGAAGTGGGCTCATGGTACTCAGAACCTGTTCTGCAGGCTGATGTAAGTAAGGTGTGCTTGGAGTCATTCCATTTTAATCTCTACTGTGAAGACTGAGTCTGGATTCCAGCTGTATACATTTTTGTTGGTTTATGCTCGTGTGATCGGCTATCTGAGACAGATCATGTTTGGATTTAGCAGCGGTTTCTCTTCCAAAAAACAAGCAAGCAAACAAAAACCTCTGTAGCAATGACAATAAAGGTTCTGAAGATGACAATGGAAGCGCTGGACTCAGGTTCCCAGACAGGCACAATAGTATGAAGATATGAAATCACAGTGTCTGCTCTATTTGGATATGTCAGAGACATAGCCACGTTAGCTGTCAGCTAATATCAAACCGAAGCCTTTTCACATGCCCCGCCCCCTTACCGGATAGCCCTAATAAACATGTCCAGACTGCACACGCCTATAGCTCTTTCCCTATATCTCATCACTACTCCACACACAGTGTAAGGAGGAAAGGTACCAGAGACCACCAGAACTGTTACTGCTTAGACAGAAAGAAGGCTCCATCAGCAGCACGACTCTTTAATCACTGTTATTTACAACTTATCATCCAACAGACTTACAGAGAATAAATAAAGAAAATATACAATTGGCATCATGTTCTATTCCTTTTTCTAATACAGAGGATTTCTATATATATTCTATTTCAGAGTGACTATGATAGTTTTAAGCAGAAATTAAATCCATTTATTGTTTAGCCCTTAACAAGGCACATATCCACCACAGCCTGTTGACCAAAGCCCAGATGTTGCTTCAACATAGAAGAGTCCACCATACTGCTGCAGGAAGTCAGTCCTCAGGAACAGTTAGCAGACATACAGCTAGAGCAGGTGAATCCTTAAACAGCAAAGAATGGTTCAGGTGAATAGTTGGATTACAAACCCTCAGTGTGTCTGCAGGAATGCTCCCAGTTTTCCCGGTTATGCCAAGCCTCTTTTTAAGAAAACACATTTGCACTGATAGCAACCGCCTGTGCTTTCCTTTGACAAATGTTTTCTTGACAGACAGTTGTGATTGGAGTTCAGCCTTGCAACTTGTATCTGTTCTCCTATATGACCTGTAGAGGTACTGGCAAGGTGTCTGTAGGAAAAACTAAATGAAGAGCTCGTTTCAGAAGAGCTAGATTTGGGGACAGAGTCTGCTCTCTGCCTTTGATCTAGTGTCCTGTTAGAATGACCATGCATGGCTGCCTGAATCAGTTTCACCATCCCAAAGATACAAGGGTATCCACTGTTTGTAGGACACTTTTTTCCTTTTTCTTTTTCATTGAAAAAAGCCCTCTATGTTTTCACAAAGCACTCCTCCCAAAATTCATACTATTGATACATAACACTGTTTCCATACTTTATTCATTAAAAACATAAGATTCACAAAATATTCTCTTGTGTGCTAGGAACTTCATAAGCCAAAGACAGGTATTATCATGTAGCCCTTAAGCAGGGCAGCTTAAAGATGTCCAACAGAAAACCCAAAGTCATGATCCATGAAACCAGAGTTTCCACTTTGCCCCAGGAAGCTGTTGTGTTTGCATTTAATTTAGCAGCTTTTATCATAATTAAGGATGAACATTTGAGAAAATGAAACTTCTCTGGTACTCTGAAATGAATGTTTTATTTTCTCACATTAGGGGTTTATATTTGTGTTATATTCTATCCACAAACTATCCCTGCTTCCATTCAGTACCACTTAATTCTTGACCAAAGTATAGGTTTACCTTAAAGGCTTCTTGTCACCAACAAAAGTTCCATTCTTCTATTTAGAATTTCCTTCTGCCTAAAAGCCTTTTATAGCGTTACTCTTCTTAAGTTGTTCTTGGATTGTTTGTGATGTCAAACCAAGGAACTAATCATTACACATGATTGGCGTGTAAGGCTAGGGCCATTCTGGGTCCCCCAGTGATGAGCATTAATTAAAAGTGGATTCAGGAAATATGTAGGATATTGTTCACTGGTAAATGAGTTTGTCAATTTGCTGGTTTTTCAATGTTTGTAGAATAATATCCAGATAGAGTCTTTCCTGCTGGGTGCCACCAAGGCCAGGTTACAAACCAACAAAGGTGATGTCCAGTGAGCAAATGTGTACAAGGCAGGAAAACTGGTGAAATCCAAGGCAAGCCTAGACTTCAGTTGTAAAAGTGGCTCAAAGTAGACCATGGTTTTGATAGATGAAAATAGACTGAAATATTACCAGTGGGAGGAAACCAGATCCAGGGTAAGGCCACTCTGCACTGATTCTTTTCTAACTTCTTTCAAGTCTCAGATAATTTGAAAATAAAAAGTTTCTGAAAAGTACAGGACAACTAAATTGTCCCTCTCTAGTCTTTTCCTGCCAGCCTACTGAGCTCCTTAGAGAACAGAGCTCAAAACTGCTCAAAAATCAAGCCCTTACTAGCTACCCAGTTTCCTTCCTTAATTCAGGATGCCAAATAATTCACAAAGTGTTCAATAACAATCATCTGTTTCTAGAATATGAAGCTTCAGTTCAAAGGATTTCCCAGAGTCAAATCTGCATCTTGTCAAAACATTAGGGGCTTACCCCACACATCACCCAAGAACATAGTCTTCAAAACAAAGAAAAGAGGAGTATGATGCGAAATGCCAGGCCCAGGAATTCAACTTAGGAACAAAGTCGTAATAACCAATGTTTTGCAATGCTCTTCATTTTGTACTTTGGGATAAAAACAGACACTCTTCTGTCTTCTGGTGTATGCTCTCAGAACATCTTCCCCCATTCCCTTCATCCAGACACTCCCCTCCTTCTCTTCTTTACTTAAAACACATGGCCTCACTCACATTCTGGTTTTCTTGGGGGATGCCTGGGTGGGACTAAACAAACATGTTTCCAATATGACACACCCCTCCTTTTAAAAATCAGACGAGATTTAGTCTTGTCTAGCTTACACCCATTGTTTCCAGGTTTGCTGTGGCCATTCTGACTCCAGCAATGATTAGCATTATTGAAAGCGGATTCAGTAACTACCATAAGCTCCCCAACTCCTAGATCTTCATACCCAAACAGCACGTAGAACACCAAGTCCAGTGCACGGACAACTTTGGCTTGCCACCAGCATTGGATGTGGTCTAGAACAAACAGGAGAGCAAACTGCATCCTGTACCCACTTCCCCTGAGATGAGAAAGTCATTCCCTGGTGGCTACATGGTTCTGTATCTGTGAAGACCAGCATTCCTTCCTTAACTCTCAAAAAAAAAATCCATTCCATTTCCTATAGTGTACCTGACTTCATTTTAATAAATACAGTCTCTCACCCACCATGTCTTCTCTTACTCACCCTCCATTCTTCTCAAGTCACTTTTTTGAACCTCTCTCAGATTTCCTTTCGAGGGTTCACTTTCACGTATCAGTTAATTCCCCGGCCTCCAGCCATCCCTGTTTCTACCTTGCCTGACTTGCCCCCTCCTGTGTCTTCCCATAATCCCTCCTTGCCTCTCTTTATGATGCCTTCTTTCTCATTTTCTTCCCATCCTTTCCACACACACACATACACACATTCGTGTAACCACTTTTAAAAAGCACTACTTGCACACAGCCCTCTTTTGTTACACACTCTGGAACACATGCAGGTATTTTTTCCACAGCTTTAACAGTGCATGCTCCCCTCAAGGTACTTCTCTCCACTCCAGATCACATATATGAATTAGTGACATTTGTTTGGCCAACAGGGCAAGATTTGAACATAGATACTGAGGCTATAGATCAATGACAGAACCCCTGCCTAGCATGAGCTCTGGGTTTGATCCCCAGCACTAAAAAAATAAATGGACCTGGCTACCAATACATTCTTCAATAAAGGTATAAATTGAGTTATGATTCTCTAAAGGACATCTTGACATAAATGGTTCACATATATCACGATCATGAATAACTTGGGAAAATAACAATAACCCACTGTTTCTCTCCGGCTTCTGCCTTTCTTGCCAAAGCCTACTTTCATTCCTCTAACTTATATTTGAGCTACCTGTTAAGTCTGTATGGTAAGCCCCTACCACCTACCATGTTGGGTCACTCAGGTTGGTACAGCTCAACTCTACAAGTGTAAATAAAAACTAAACCTGTGTCTATAATACAAGGGTCTCAGTGCCAGAAGGTAGATCCTTCTTCATATTAAAAAAAAAAAAAGAAAGAAAGAAAGAAAGAAAGAAAGAAAGAAAGAAAGAAAGAAAGA